CGGTACATGGGCCTCTCACTGTTGTGGCCTCTCTCGTTGCGGAGCACAGGCTCCGGACTCGCAGGCTCAGCGGCCATGGCCCACGGGCCCAGCTGCTCCGCGGCATGTGGGATCTTCCCGGACTGGGGCACGAACCCGTGTCCCCTGCATGGGCAGGCGGACTCAACCATTGCGCCACCAGGGAAGCCCCATAGGTAGTCTTAAGAACTGTTTATTGGATGATTAGGGTTCTTCCCCAGTTTTGCCAGACCCCAAACCAGCCCTCATCAAATGGGTGGAGCAGGAGACCCAGCTGTGGGGTACAGGTGCTCAGGATCCCCTGGAGGAGGAAGCCTGAGAGAAAGCCATAAAGATGGGAGGTGGAGGTGATGTCCCAGTGTCAGCTGTAAGGGAAAACGTTTGTTGAGCAAGAAACACCATCTATATGCTCTTTACTGCTGGCATTGCTAATTTTCGCTGACCTGAATTTATGACACCCACTGAAGATTGCAGTCTTGACCTTCTCTTTCTCACTTAATTGGCTTTGAGGCATCCAAGTGGTCACATGATTAGGTCACACTGTATGAATCATCCAGACCGTGGGTCAGTGGCAGTGTGTGAATTCAAGTTTAGGATGGAGGCAGTTCATCTGTCTTCCAGGTCCCTGGTTCCTATAACAGCTGCCCTTCTGGTTGAGAGTATCTCTTCTGGTTGGCCCTGGAGTGGGTGGGAATGTCCCTGACTTCGGGGCCCTCAACTGGCCAATACAGTCTAGAAGGGGGCTTCCAGGGCTGGGTACTCATCTGAATGCTTCTGTCATTGTGAAGGTTGATTCTATCACCTGAACATACATAGGCCTTGGAGAGTTAACAGGAAAAATGGTAAGTTTTGAATCTGCTGTGTTTCCCAGCACTCACTCAGAAAAATGATACGTTTGGAAGGGGTGAGCCGAAGTCTATCTGGGAGTTGTCATGAGGCTCTGGGGTCAGAGACACTGACGTGGCCTTGGAGCCTGTGGCCAAGTCTCTCTGTAGTCAGCACTTTCCCAGGCCTTCAGTCTGTGCCCAGCTTCAACACCTGGCACTCACACCACACCCTCATCCCCACACCAAGTGCAGTCATGCTTTACCTTTACCTTCAACTTGGCCCAGTGCTCTCTGTTTTGTGTTTTTTTCTTTTTTCTTTTTTGACCACACCACGCAGCGTGCAGGATCCTAGTTCCCCAACCAGGGATCGAACCTGTACCCCCTGCAGTGGAAGCACAGAGTCCCAACCACTGGACCTCCAGGGAAGTCCCGGCCCAGTGCACTCTGGAGAGGGACCCTTTACTTACAGCTAGTGCAGTACCTCTCATGCTACTTGCTGACTCACACAGGCAAGCAGGCCTACTACTGTCCCCACAGTGGGAGGTGCTTCAGCCAGAGGCCACTAGTAGACCCACCAGCTTGGTACCATGGCCCTCAGGGTCTGACCCAGGAGTGCAGACTCTGCCCAAGGTTCTTCTCCAGGAGAGTCCAGACCCCTCTGCGAGCTTTCAGCACTACCCAGGGCTCTTCCAGTGTGTGATAAGGATGGGCACTGACAGGTGACAAAAAGCCATCACTCTTAATGGAAATTTTCTAATTTCTTTTGTGTCCTTCAGAGGGCCTGAGAGGCTAAGAGAAATTGCTGGGGTTGAGCCCCTGGGCAACTCTGCACCCTTAGTCCTTACCCTCCACGGACCACCCTACAACAAGCCTCTCTCCTTGGCCAGGCTGACCCCTCCCAAGTTTAAGTCTTCCCCTTCCCTCGTGCTGAGATCAACTCTTTACTTGCCCAGCTCCCCTAGGGAGAAGCAGCCACTGGATACAGGATGTCAGGCGGAAGCCTCAGGGGGGCCTTTGGAAGGAGGCAAACAGACAAGAGCTCCAGAGTGGACCTCAGAGCTGCTGAAGATGTGAAGTGCATGTCCATGAAGTGTGTGAAATGCTGTGACTGATTTAAGTGGCCAAAGGAAAAACATCAAGGCTTCTTAGGGCAGGGTATTTATGAAGGCTTGTGGGAAGCACAGACTAGACAGTCAATAAATGTGCCCGGTGAGAGAGAGGGTTTGGAGGTAGAAATGATGGAGAGAGTTGGTGCCATTTGCTAAGACAAAGACCCCAGGATGGGCAGGTTATGGGAAGAAAGGGATGAGTTCAGTTTGAGCCACGCAGACTCCGAGGTGCTTGTGGGCCATCCATGCCGGGGCAAGGTGGCAGGTGGCTCTGTGATCAGGAGCTCAGGAGCCAAGCTTGAGCTAGAGGTAAATAGATGTTCGGGAGACGTCCTGTAGGGCATGTCGGGGGAGCGTAAGCTTACAGAAAGAGGGTCCTTCCGACCTTTCTCAGACCTCACCCTACTCTTCCCCAGTCGCCCCCACGATCTCCTGAAACAGAAGCTCCCATAATTTCAGGCTTATTAAGCTTCCAGTAGAGAAGGTTCTTTTACCCGCTCCATTTTTTTTTACCCTCAACATTGGGGGAAGCCTGCTGTCACCCAGTGATGGCCAGCGACGAAATTGAACGTCTGAATTAACAGCGCGGAGCGGCCTGGGGTCTGGGCTGGAGGTCGCTGTTCCAAACCTGGGCGGGGCCGCGGCTGCGCCTCCAGCGCGACGGGCGCGGGGACCCGGCGGGGAAGTCGGGCCGCCGCGCCTCCGGGGCCGGGAGCCAGACTCTGGGGAACGCCGCCTCCGGGCTGGTGGCAGCGCCTCCTCGGGCGCCTGTAGCCGCCGCGGCCATGTTGGCTGAGGGCTCGAAGACAAAGCCACCTGGAGACACCGGGGCGGCGTCATCTGGGCACGATGGCGCGGGAGCGAAGTTCGTGGGGCCGCGTTGCCGCCATCTCTTAGGAAGGCATCTTCCAGTTCTGGTTCTCGGTGCACCTTCAGCCACCCGCTCTTAGTGTTCGGCCACCCCCGTGGGCCCTCGAGAGGCCGTCCCTGGTCTCCCGGCCTCACGACGGCGTCCCGACCCTCGGGCCCGGCCACGGAGAGTTCTGGATCGCGGAGGCTCCGCGGACCCCGGCGGGTAGGGGTGGCACTGGCCCGCCGCCGGGGTGGCACTTACGATGGCGCTGCCCCCGGCCCCGCTCCCCGCGCGGGAACCTAACGGGGCCGGGCGCCGGGGGGGGACACCCGAGCCCCTGAGCTTCGCGGACGTGGCCGTGTACTTCTCCCCGGAGGAGTGGGGGTGTCTGCGGCCCGCGCAGAGGGCCCTGTACCGGGACGTGATGCGGGAGACCTACGGCCACCTGGGCGCGCTCGGTGAGGCTCCGCCTGCTCGCCTGCGCCCACCACCCCGTCCACGCCGCCCAACCTCTGGGTCCTGCACGTGGAGTGGGAGGCCCCAGAAAGTCGCGACCCTGGGCGGCGGCTTCCCCCGCAGCGTGGGCTTTGCGTTCTTCTCCCCCAGGCTTCCGAGGCACCAAGCCAGCCCTCATCTCCTGGGTGGAGGAAGAGGCCGAACTGTGGGGTCCAGATGCCCGGGATCCTGAGACGGGAGAGTGTCTTAGAGAAGCAGACACAGGTGAGGTAGTGGGTACTTTGTCCCGTGGGGACTTCCTCTGGGTCTGACCCATCCTGCTACCCTTTGCCAACTCCTTACCTGCTCATCAGTTTCCTCCCCGAATTGCTTTCCCAGCTAAGGTTGTTATGCCTGGTCCCTGCCTAGCTCTGGATTCAGCCTAGAAAAGGGGGCTGTGAGAGTGACCCAGGCATACCTGCCTCTCCACTCCCAGCTCCGCGGTATCTGAGCTCCTCACATCTAGTTGGTTTCTAAGCTCCTTGGAGCTCCGCATCACCCTGTCTGCTGTTTGCCTGCTCTCTAGCTCCTCTGCCACCTCCTCTGTTTTAGTTTACTTTCTTTTTGTTGTATTTTTGTAGCAGCCTCCTTTCTCTTGGCTTGCACGGTTTTCTTCCTCCACTTCATCCTGTCCACCTGTTGCACAGCGCCCAGCCCCTCTGAACTTGTCAATGCCAGTCACCTTCATGCCTCTCTTTGTGCTGCATCCTTACCATCCACTCATCCTCCGTGATCAAGCTAAATTGTTATCCCTCTGACCCTCATTTCCCCAGCCCTGAGGTAGAATGTACTGTGCCCCTGTTCCTTCCCCCTCTGTCTCTGTAGCTTTTCTTACCATCCTGTGCAGCTGAGGAAAAGGTGTCACTCCTAGCTTCCCTGCCTGTACCAAGCTGAGTCCCAGAGGCACCTGTGGGTCCAGAAGGTGCTTGTATCTAAGAGGCTTCTCTGTCCCCATATGGGCTGTGGGAATCAGGGACCAGGATAAGCCAGGGTCTGAGCTCTCCCCTTATCTCTCAGCAGGTTCCAGAGACGAGGAAGAGAAAGGACAAAGAGAAGGGACCGAGGCACTGGGGAAGATCCGTTCTGTGGACCCTCAGCCTCCCGGGCTGATGGCTCTCAAACCCTTTTCTGCTGGGTTTTCTTATGGTTGGGAGCAGCCATCGAAGGTGCCTCGCCGGGGTCGCCCACCACTCTGTGCCCATCCCCCGGTCCCCAGGGCAGACCAGAGGCACGGTTGCTACATGTGCGGGAAGAGTTTCGCTTGGCGCTCCACCCTGGTGGAGCATCTGTACACCCACACGGGCGAGAAGCCCTTCAGTTGCCCTGACTGTGGCAAGGGCTTCAGCCAGGCCTCCTCTCTGAGCAAGCACCGGGCCATCCACCGAGGGGAGCGGCCCCACCGCTGCCCGGACTGTGGCCGGGCCTTCACCCAGCGCTCCGCCCTCACCACCCACCTCCGGGTCCACACGGGCGAGAAGCCCTACAGCTGTGATGACTGCGGCCGCTGCTTCAGCCAGAGCTCCGCCCTCTACCAGCACCAGCGGGTCCATAGCGGCGAGACCCCCTTCCCGTGCCCAGACTGTGGCCGCGCCTTCGCCCACGCCTCAGACCTCCGGCGCCACGTGCGCACCCACACGGGCGAGAAGCCCTATCCATGCCCAGATTGCGGGCGCTGCTTCCGGCAGAGCTCCGAGATGGCAGCCCACCGGCGCACCCACAGCGGCGAGCGCCCCTATGCCTGTCCGCAATGCGGCAGGTGCTTCGGCCAGAAGTCAGCCATGGCCAAGCACCAGTGGGTCCATAGGCCCGGGGCGGGGCGGCGCAGGGGCCGGGGTGCCAGTGGGTTGCCTGTACCCCTGGCCTCTGGCCGAGGGGACCTGGACCCACCCGTGGGCTTCCAGCACTACCCAGAGATATTCCAGGAGTGTGGGTGATGGCCTCAACAGTGACAAGGCAAAGGGTGAAGATCTAGACATTGTTTGAGGCCCAGGGTGGCCTCAGGGGCCTGAAACCCTGGCAGCTCCGGGGAGGCCACAGAATTCCCAGCCAGAGCTGGACCTGCGGGAGGAGGACTGTTTCATCTTAGGTCCTCACGAGCTTCATCTGCTGATACCTTGTTCCCTACTGTTCCAGACTCTAGAAGCCCCCTTTGCTGAGTTCGGGCTGAGGTTAGAACCCCCACTAGACTTTCACTGTGGGGAAGAAAAGGCTGTTTCTAAGAGGATTGAGGTGGAGAACTTTGTTTTACCCACTGACTTTATTGCAGAAGTTAAAAACTGATGGCTGGGTACTGAATGTGGTCTGTAGCAGCCTTTAATTTTTTTTTTTTTTTTTTTTGGGAAGAAAAGGCTGTTTCTAAGAGGATTGAGGTGGAGAACTTTGTTTTACCCACTGACTTTATTGCAGAAGTTAAAAACTGATGGCTGGGTACTGAATGTGGTCTGTAGCAGCCTTTAATTTTTTTTTTTTTTTTTAGCCCAGCCAGCATTTTTAAATGTTATGAATTATTGGTTAAGATTAAAAAATCAGGATATTTCACACAAAAAAACAGGTTTCTGGCCTCTGTTGAAAAATCCAAAGATTTGGCAACTCCATCTGAGCTCCCACAAAACCACAATTGGTGGGAGCTGAGGGACAGTTGCCCCTTTGGATGGAGACCAGGCTCTCCAGTTCAGCATGCCTGCCACTCCTTGTCACCTCCTGACCAGTGTCAGCTGGCACTCATCATGGCTCCCCCACAACTCTCGCCAACATCTCTGGCAAAGCAGGCCCTCTCCATCTGGCATTTTTCTACTCATTTACATGACCTGTTGGGTTCCTGTAGTCATTTGAGTTTGCAAACTGTAGTCTACAGCATTCAGTTGTTCTTGAATCAGGAAGAGAGCATATTTGTAAAAGGGTGGCAGGAGAGAAGTAAAAGGAAGCTTATGTTAGATCTTGGCTCGTATTGCATTTTATGGTTTACAAAGTACTGTCTTGTCCATCAACTCATTTCACCCTCATAATTGCATATGGAAGGAAGCACCTTGCTTGGAGAGGACAGCCCATCAAGAAGAGGCAGTCAGGACTGAATTTTTTGCCCCAAATGGAGTGGTGTCTCCACCTTAGCACAAGTCAGCTGACCTGCACTTCCTGTTTTTGAAGGGCAGGGGCCTGAGAGACCCCTCTAGTACTCCTTGGGCCTCCCTCGGAGAGCCCTATGGCTCAGGCTTTGCTATTCTAGGCCCAGCCAGGAGGGCCTCATCACATTTTTGAACTGGAAGAGATCTTAGCTTTTCCATCCTTTTGCATTTGGGGACACTGAGACTGGGGGAAGCTGAGCAACCTATCCAAGGTCACACAGAGTGAGATGCTAGGCTTCTTTGTTTCCTGCTGTCTTTACCATAACACTCCTGAGTTCCTTGTCAGTGTCTCAGCCAGGGTTCTGGAAGCATCTTCCCACTCCCTGAGATGACACCCAGGCACTGACCTAGACTAGGGACAGAGCAGCCCAGTGTTAGTGAAGCCCAGGTACAAGATGAGTGACAAAACAGCCACATAGCCAACAAGGCAAGGGAGAAACCAGCCTTAGATGAGAGTTCCAGGGCCAACAAAATCAAAGCTTGCATCTTCACTCTCTTTAGGACCTCCATCACCAACAAAGGGGGACAAGGCCAGGAACATTTGGGGTTAGTAGCCAGAGGAAACTGTACTATTCTATATTCCCAAGCTCTGCACAGAATCCCTCCCCCATCACCCTGTGACTCCATCATCCATCTACCACTCATTCCTTTGTGGTCAGAGTCCAGCCTTGTCCAGGTGATGGAAGCAGCCAGCCATGTGCAGACCCTTTCTTGCCTCTGGTCAGGATGACCCTTCCCCTCAAGTAGGAGTAGCAAGGACTTATGTCCTCGGTGGCCTGTGTGCACTTCCCTTCTGAGAACTCAGCCCTGTGTCTGGCCTTAGGAAGAAACCAGATTTGTCAACCTAAAGAAACTTCTAAAGGAAGAGGTACAAAACTTGGGGAAAAGACACTGTTCACGTAAAGTGATGGACTGACTTGATTCCAACCTAATCTTCCAATCTGACCCCACCAAGATCTCTCTTAGACTAAACTTCACCAGGAGGATTGGCTCATATGCCACCTGTCACAGGGGGAATGTGGGAGTAAGGAGAGGCACCTTGGGAGTGAGGAGAGGCACCTTGGCAGTAGTAGCTACCTTTGTACCATCTTTTATTCCCCTAGAGAAGCCAGTGTCCAACCCATCCTTCCCCTGCCCCTCAGCACTGCCTGGGGGAAGCTCAGCCTGCAATACCACTTCTCAGGTCAGCCTCAAAGCCAGATCTGGACCCTGTCTGAGCTTGCCAATTAAAGGTATAATTAGTACTTTCTCTGAGTGCTCTGAAGTTTTTAAGACTTGCGTAGGGCCCCCAAACCAGAACCAACTCCTCTGCTTCCTGCCCTCGTGACCCAATCCCCCCCCCCCCACTTAATATTTGAGTATCATGGAACACTTAAGCCTCAGCCTCATCCCCTTCTTAGCTCCTCACTCCTTGGCACAGATTCTTCCCCTAAACGTAAGGCTCCCTTTTCTCTCCACTACCACAGGTTTTTGAGGCTCAGCCCTTGAAGCAATTTAAGCCAGGAAGAGGGTTTTCCTAGGGCTTCATTGGTGCATCAGGAGGAATGCTTGTCTGCACCAGTGAAAACATGAGCCCCATCCACATGGCCAGAGGGAGAGGTCAAGGCCATGACCACATGGCCCCTTCCTAGTTTGTCCAAGCCATGTAAAGGATAAGTATTGATTTGAGCTCCAAAGACCCCTAGATTTGGGGGGAATATTTGTTTATGTGTATCTTTCTAGGAACAGTACGTGCAAAGACGTTTATGACTCAGAAGCTAAAACCTGCTCTAGGCCAATATTTTTCAAAGTAAGGCCTTTCTGCCACAGAATCACATGCAGTTATCTCTTCAAAATGCAGCTAGCTCCCTGGGCCCTGTCCCTAATCTATTGTATCTCCAGCGATGGAATCTTATGGCTGCTAAAGTTTGAGAGAACCACTGCTCTGAACATAAAAATGTTATTTTCTAGCTGCACTTAGTGTTATAAGAGTAGGGGTTGGTGTCAGGGCCTGTTCTAAATGTGTCAGGCCAGCTGATGACTTCGCCATACACAAAGACTCCCATTTCCTTTGTTCTTCCCAAAGGGGCCTGTGTCATGATTGGTCTCTTTCTGGGTACCTCAAAGCTTCTTGAATATACCTGGGCATCTCTTGTAGCATCTGACAGAAGCCCTCTTAGAGGGCTTGTCCTTTGCATGCAGGGAGGAAGCAGATCATACAGAAGCCCCTCTCACACAGAACCTTTGTCAGGACTCTCTTGGGTGTGGGCCAAGTTGGTTGGACCATAAACTGTGGCTGCACACTGAATAGCTCTGCCCAGGTGCTGCTGCACACCGAGGGATGATGCTGTGGACAAAGTGGATGCCCAACTTAGGACATGCATTTTGTCAAGTTGGAACCCTCATCAGAGTCTTTCCTGTGCTTAGAGCCTATCCCTGCTATGGGCATGTGGCCGGCAGAGGCTGGCTGCCTCTTGAAGGTCCACTGCATAGAGAGGATAGGTGCTGGAGGAGGCTGCCTGGAAGTTGGCCAGGTACTAGTGAGACTGAATTTCCACATGGAAATACTGGTGCCAGAGCAGACTGAAGCCCTGGCCCAACTTCTGCTATTCATGGGGCTTGTGGCCCACGCTATGAAGAGTGCAGGCAGGGACCATGTCAGAGCTGGGGCTGGAGGACTCGCCACATACTTTGCAGGGGACGGCTGCTCTCCTGTGGGAATTTCCTGGTGGATAAGCAGGTAGGAGGTCAGAGAAAAGTGTCTCATGAAGGAGACCTTTGTCTCTCATTTGTGTGCTTTGGGGATGACCAGGAGGTGGCCCAGGTCCAGCTCTTCCCATAATCACTGCACTTGTAGGGTGTTCTGCCAGTGTGGGCCCTCTAGTGCTGGACCCTGTGAGCCATTCTTCATGAAGGTTTTAGGACAGACAGTGGGATGGGAGAGAGGCATGGAGCTGGAAGCTGATCCTCTGGAGGGCAGAAAAGGACTCCTGCTTTATTTGTAGGAAGGTATCTCTATCTGTGATTCTGTCTGTAAGCCTCTACTGAGAACTGAGATCACATCTCTCCAGGCTTTTCTCCTTTGGAATTCTCCAAATTCTTGTTCTCATCTTCTTTCAGGAGAATGGAAGATGCCATCTTTCCTAAGTAGTTTCCTCCTTTCCTTTGTCTGGTAAGGCAACAAGAAAACACAATCTATGGTTCCTGCATCACTCCCACAGAGAGAATTTGGTTCATTAGTTGTCAAGAACACTACCAGGGCTTCCCTGGTGGCGCAGTGGTTGAGAGTCCGCCTGCCGATGCAGGGGACACGGGTTCGTGCCCCGGTCTGGGAGGATCCCACATCCCACATGCCGCGGAGCGGCTGGGCCCGTGAGCCATGGCCGCTGGGCCTGCACGTCCGGAACCTGTGCTCCGCAACGGGAGAGGCCACAACAGTGAGAGGCCAGCGTACCGGGGGGGAAAAAAAAAAAAAAAAAAAAGAACACTACCAACTAGTTTCAGCAGCAAGGGTAGAAGGACAGAACTGGATCCTATTAAATTGTCTTTCCAGGGTCACTTTTCCTTTGATTCAAAGCTGCATCTAGGGTAGCGTTTCTCAGGTTCCCTTCCTCTACAAGCCTCTATCCGAGTCAGACAGGACTGGAGAGTGGTTCTCTCCTATCCACTTCCACTCCTGAGAAAATCCAGGAACCAGGGACAAAGACTCCAAGGGATTGAGTTAAACTCAGTCTTTGGGGAAGGTGGAGGGGAGAGGCAGGGTAACAGAAGAGGAAACAACCTTCTTTCTGCGGCAGGATGCCCCCC